TTAGAGGAAGGATTTGTATTCCTGTTGACCAGGAATTGAAGAGAGCAATACTAGATGAAGGTCATCGGAGTCGTCTAAGTCTACACCCTGGTATGACTAAGATGTATCAAGATCTGAAGAAGGTTTATTGGTGGTCTGGTATGAGGAGAGATATTGCAGAGTATGTGGCTGCTTGTTTGACTTGTCAGAAAGCAAAGGTGGAACACCAAAGGCCGGGAGGAATGCTACAGCAAATGGAGATACCTGAATGGAAGTGGGATAGCATTACCATGGATTTTGTTACCCATTTACCACGGACAATTCGAGGGTACGATTCGATCTGGGTGATAGTGGACAGATTGACGAAGAGTGCACATTTCCTCCCTGTAAATCTGAGGATATCTATGGCTAAACTGGCACAACTATATATTCGCGAGATTGTTCGATTACATGGGGTACCATCTAGCATTATCTCGGATAGGGATCCTAGATTTACTTCAAGATTCTGGCAGACTTTACAAGAGGCATTAGGTACCCGACTTAGGTTGAGTTCAGCCTATCACCCCCAGACAGATGGACAGTCAGAGAGGACCATCCAGTCACTAGAAGACTTGTTGAGGTCTTGTGTGTTGGATAATCTAGGAAGTTGGGATGAGATCCTTCCATTAATAGAGTTCACGTATAATAACAGCTATCATGCCAGTATCGGAATGGCACCATATGAGGCTCTTTATGGGAGGAGGTGTCAAACACCTTTATGTTGGTATCAGGATGAGGAGAAAGTGTTGATTGGACCTGAGCTACTCCAGCAGACTACAGAGAAGGTCCGAGAGGTACAAGAGAAGCTGAGAGCCGCTATGAGCAAACAAAAATCATATGCGGACCAGAGGAGGAGACCTTTGGAATTTGAGGGGGGAGACCATGTATTTTTGAGAATCAGACCTACTATTGGAGTAGGAAGGGCAATTAAATCTAAGAAGTTGACTCCCAAGTTTATTGGCCCATATCAGATTTTGAAGAAGGTAGGTCCAGTGGCATATCAGTTAGCATTGCCACCTCATTTGGCGAATCTGCACAATATATTTCATGTATCTCAGTTGAGGAAATATGTACATGACCCCAGTCATGTCCTGGAGTCAGACAATGTGCAGATTAGAGACGATATCTCTGTTGATGTGAGACCAGTAAGGATAGAGGATTCTCAGCTGAAGCAACTCAGAGGTAGAACCATCTCAATGGTGAAGGTAGTATGGGATCAGAAATCCGGAGACTTCACTTGGGAGATGGAGGATCAGATGCAAGAGTCTTATCCATATCTATTTCTAAGTAAGTTCATTTTTGAGGACGAAAATTTTTTTGTGGAGGGGAGATTGTGACGTATGCCTTAGTATTATATTAATATTACTGTGCAAGAAAACTTCGTAACGAAGTTTTCCTCATGCACAGTAAAAATTTTTGTATATATGAATACTGAAGCGGGGGAGGAGGGGAATCAAAATTTTCCTCTCATCCTTCTTCTTCTATTGTCTAAATTTCAAGCAACGAGACTCTACTCGTGCAGAATCTGGTGAAACGGGAGAGAACTTGAATTAAGTGGGAAAGCTTCGGTAGAAATACCATATCAAGTAAGAGGAAGTTTAATTCATTCAATATATGAAATTGAATTGCTGGGTACTCTGTGAATAAGGAATAGGAGTAGAGATATGAATTATTGGAATGTCTGATTTTGAAGAATGTCTGATTTTGAAGAATTTCTGATTTTGATCAACTGTTCACCGTTTGAAAGTTTTTTTTAAAATTCTTGAAATTAAGGATGAATTATATACTAAACTTGTTGTTTTTAACTTAAATTGAACATGTTTATGGTTAAATTTTGATTTGGAACTAATTTGGGTGATTGAAACTGAGAAATTTGAAATCTGGATTTTTAAAATGGCGGACTGGAAAATCTGCAAAACTCGCTCAAGCGAAAAACACGTCGCTTGAGCGAGAATACCTGGAAAATTTGGGATTCTCGGGTCCTTTATCGCTCAAGCGACGAGTGTACTCGCTTGAGCGACGAAGTCTTCAAACAAAGGTGACTCTCGGGTCATGTCTCGCTCAAGCGACCGATGTACTCGCTTGAGCGACGAAGCCTCAAACAAAAGGGGACTCTAGGGTCAGGTCTCGCTCAAGCGACCGGTGTACTCGCTTGAGTGACGAAGTCGTCAAACAACGGGGATTCTCGGGTTCCATCTCGCTCAAGCGACCGCTGTACTCGCTTGAGCGAGCGAAGGAAGAAGAAAGGGATATGGTGTGGATTTTTTTAAAAGATTAAGGGCAAAATAGTAATGATTTCGAAAATGATTTCGAAAATAGTTCGGAAATAGTTTCGGAAATGATTTCGGAAATGATTTTTAGGAAAATATATATATAAAGAGAGAGAAAGAATGAAAGTAGAGTATTGTGACGTGTGTGGGTCAGACTGAGCCTGAGGGCTGATGCCCAGAATCAGTCCTGAGACGTTATATATTGGCTAGACTGAGCCAGAAGGTTGGTGCCAGAATCAGTCAAATACTATTTTTATTGACTCGAATGAGCCGTGAGGACAGGTGGTCCAGAATCCGGCAAATGTGATTAAATTTTGTATGTTTGAATGGTACCCGGGGTGGTACAGAGTACATTAGTGTAATAACTATGTCGGAGGATTTTGAATGAGGTCCCAAACTTCACGGATTGGTCGGGTCAGGTAGACTACGAGATCAGGTGGTGAGAAGTCGATGGGGGGATGACTGGTGGCGCGCTCGGAGGGGTACTCCAGTATGAGTGATGAAGGGCGCCAGTAATCCTACTCTGTGTGGAGGGTGGTCAGAATGGTACTGCGGGTACCGATCACAATGTGCCCACAGATGATAGCCTCTGAGTTCGGGCATAGTTAGGGTATACTTCCGGAAGGTGTCTTAGTGTGTTGATAATTTCGTAATTGATCATAATATATAATTCTATATTTGTTTTATTATATCGAATGATTTAATACTTACCCCTATTTTTCCATGTGGATGGGACTGCGATGATCACTTTTATGTGAGAGCAGATCAGGAGTTGAGAGATGGTGATGTGACTACTTGACAGCAGGGATAGTTCAGTGGGATAGCTTCGAGGGAGCTATTGTTACATGTATAATGTATAAATAAATGATGTTACTATATTTTGAAGTTCCGTTAGTGAACTGGAATTTCAATATATGTTACAATTACAGTAATATAATGTAAAATAAATGTTGTTATTTACTTGTTTACTACTTTGCGAAGACATCATTATAGTAGCGATTTCTAGGGTCGTTACAATTATCTTGTATTAAAAAGTGTGTGCTCTAATGTTATCAATTGATTTTATGTTATAACTTTAACAATAACAATGTTAGAGAATATAACTTCTATGTTTGATTCAGTGATAAGATTTATATGGTGGTCAAAGTAAATATCATCTTTAAATTTGTATATTCATGCCTCTTGTATCTACATGTAATAATTTATATATTCATGCCTCTTTCTACATGTAATATAGAATCATTTAAATGGTTTGATAGCAAGCAAATTTAATGCAGAAAATAAAATTTTGCTGTATTGAGTTTACTCATAAATTAGAGTCAAATGAAGAGAAAATTTCTGAAATGTTTATTATGAATGTTTCTAAGATTTCAATTAAGATTAATAGTTTATGTAAATTGACATAACTAAAGAATACATGCTTACATGTTGGTTTATTTAATTTTGATTACTTCCTCAAATTTTCTTTTGATTTCTTTTGGAGTCCTGCAGTTCGCCTCTTTTGATATTCACTTTTGCTTTCCTGAGGCAGAAAAGGGTTAGGAGGATATTGAGGTGCTTAATTATATATAATATTATTAATGGAAAATTTCCTTTTGCAAAATTTTATACATTCAAAAGTTTAATAATCATTTAAATTGTTTAGAGACTTTTAAACTTATATATATACACTTGTATGCATAGATGAAATGCTAACTTTTATAAATTTAAAAGTTTAATAATTCATTGCCATATCTGAAGAAATCAAACAAGATCAACCAAGAAATACAATCTAAATCAAATTAACTTCCATCTTTTATAGTAATTTTATTTTTCACTACATTAAATAGAAAAGATTGAAGTTTGAACCACACATGATCGAAGAAATGAAAATAGGCATAGTCACTACAAAAAAATCGTTTATTTCCAATGGATTTTTACCGATGAATTTGGAAAATTAGTTATTATCGATGAAATTTACTGATGGATTGTAGAATTTGGTCTTACTGACGGATATATCCGTCGATAAATTAATAATTATTTATCGACGGATATATTTGTCGGTAAATTCATCGGTAAATTAATAATTAATTACCGACGGATATATCCGTCAGTAAATTTGTCGATAAATTAACAATTAATTACCGATGGATATATCCGTTCGGTATACCCATCGATAAATTAACAATCACTTACCTATGAGATATATATATCCGATCGGTAAAATTATATAATAATTACTTAATTTTAAATATATTTTAATAAATTAATTATTCACCTAATTAAAAAAATAAAATAATTTTTCTATTTAATAAATTAATTTAATCATAATTAGATTAATTTATAATAATTTATTAAATTAAATAATTTTAAAAAATAAATATTTAATTATATATAAATATATAAATATACAAATATATAAATATGTAAATATATAAATATATAATATAAAAATATATAAATATAAAAATATAAATATATAAATATAATTTATTGTAAACTATAATGGAAAAATTACAGTAGCTTAGTGGTTGGAGTATCGACTTCCAATTCTAAGATACTAGGTTCGAATTCTGTTAAAGACAATTTTCTTAATCTAAATTATAATTCAAAATTCTACCAATATAAAAAGGAAAAATAAATAATAATATAATATAAAAAATAAAAATTTAATAAATAATAAAAGTATTTCCATCACCATCCAAAATCCCACCACAAATCCCAATGCCATGCTCACAAAAAACCACTCCACTCCATGCCTGTCACTCCCTTTGCCATTGGCATGGAATTGTTGGAGCTGCAATTGATGGCCATTGGCATGGAATTGTTGGAGCTGCAATTGATGGCCAGTGGTGGGCCGCAGAGGTCGTTGCCAATGAAGTTGGAGGCATCACAGGTTTTCAGTTGAGTTCCTGTTGGAATTTTTGCCCTCAAATTATTATATGATAAGTCTAGCATGCTCAGGAAGCTCAGATTTGACATGGTCGGAGTGATTTCCCCAGAAAGTTGATTCCTTGAGAAATCGATGGACAATAATGATTGCATATTACCAATGCTTCCTGGAATGACCAACTAGTTGGTTGTGGGATAAGTTCAAAAATATCAATCCATTTAAATCTGTGATTTCTCTTGGTATTTCTCCTACTAATTGGTTATTTGATAGATCAATGCTTGTCACCAATCCCAGTATACTTCTGTACTCATCTCCTCTTCCTTTCAGCCAAAAGGAGCACACTAACTATACTAACCTGCCAATTTACTAATGTAGAATTTATTTCCTTACAATAGATACTAGGATTTGAACTTTTGTTCGTCAAAGTCATGACATTCAAGCGATTGAAACAAGTTGGAATATTTCCAGACAAATTGTTTTGTGCAAGGTCTAAAATCTGAAGACGACGCATATCACATATTGTATTAGGAATATGACCAAAAAATTGATTTGATCGAAGGATAAGAACTTTCATATTTGAAGCACTTTCTCCAACCCAAGATGGAATTCTTCCTGAAAATTTATTTTCTCTGAGATCCAAGAAAATACATTACTACAAAAAACACTTGCTACGACACAATTCAACGTTGATTTTTATGAAGATCGACGTTGTACAAGACGCGATGATAAACTTGTAATTAAGAAACAATATTTAACATCGGTTATAACAAAATCGACGTAGGAATGGATAAATAACGTCGGTTAGATAACAGACGACGTTAAATGTTTAAACTTAACGTCGGTTATACATAACCGACGTTGAAATCCCAAAATCAACGTCGGTTCCATGATTTACCCGACGTCGAAAGAATTATCCACGTTGGGTTTTTTAATAACCGACGTCGAATGTCCTAACATACCTAATCGAAAGCGCGCAGTTGTTCTTCTGCTTCTTCTTCTTCTTCTTCGTGCTCTGCTACATCAGGCCTCATCGCCGTGTTGTATCAGCCCACCCTTTAGTGCCCTGCATCTTCGTCCTCTACTACCTCAGTCCTCATCGCCGTGCTCTGCTACCTCAGTTCTGTGCTTTTTCGTTCCTTGTTTGACGTGGTAACGCCGCGCTCTTACACGTCGTTGCACCGCCATTGTTGCAGTGTGCGTGGTACCCCTCGTTTCCTTAAGGAAACCCCTTCTCATCAGGTTAGATTAAGTGGTATGGATGATTTACAACATGCATTTAACATAAATATGGATTATTTAGAGCATTTCCTGCATATGAACAGTGGAAAGATGATGGATGATTTTGTATGGTTTGATTTTATCTAAGTTCCTTTAGGCTTTGGAAGTTTGTTTTCGGTTTCAAAGTGGTATATACTCTTTCATGTAGATGCACACGTTCGACTGTGACTGTTTTTGGGGTTACTTTCCCATTTTTTATGTGGGAAATCATATTCATGAATCAGTTCATGAAGGGGCTTCAACCATCCACAATGTGCCTTTGGATCCTAACTTGGTCAAAGTAGTGGTTGAAAATGTGGTTCACGCTGAGGCTAGTGTCCCTATCCCCACTGAAGAGGTGCAGACAGGGGGGCAAGCCCTTCAGACCTTCATTACTTGGCCCCGACATTTAGTTAGGTCAATCATGGCAAAGGTATGTATATGTATGGTTATAATACATCTAACACATAAATAAATTGATTTATTGTTTATAATTATATTTTAAAAAATATGTAGGATGTTCAGCAGCCAATAGACTTGGGTAAAGCTATTACCACTCCTTCTGGATCTAAGGAGAAGACATAAGTTGTGGGGACTTCTCCAAATCCAATTTTTGATCTCTTGTCTCTTTCCCCACATTTGTATATGCATTCATTCCAAGTTGTATGGGATTCTACATTATTTGGGATGACTTCTAGCAATATCCCCCTATACATTTCCCACACTGATGCCCTGGAGATTGGGATGGGCAATCAATGTCTAAATATAGCTGTTTTACAATTTTGGACATTGTAAGTTCATATCTTTCATGACTCTTTTCATTTTATTAAATATATAAGGTATAAGTTCACTTAAATTGGCATATTTTAGGATGCTTGCATGAAATGATAGTGGAGCAGGGCATTGGTCATGTGTATGGATTATTCGAGCCTCAATCCATACAAAAGTCCGGGAATAAGCGTGATCAAATTCTCGGTTACATGCGGAATTGGATGACTGATTCTAAGAGAGATATTTACCTTGGAGCATACCATCATTCGTAAGTTATCCCAACCTCTTACTGGTTTTACACAAGTTTTTTTAATAGATTCTAATCATGTGTATATACAGAAACCATCGCAGCTATTACTTATTTGTCCAAAGCGAGAATCTTGTGTGTTGGTTCTGCTCATTGGGAAGAAAACCGACATGGAGCTAAAAAATATTGTAAACGAGTAAGTATTTCTTATATTATGTCTAAACATCTTGATTATTCTATTTCTAAGCCCCTTCTTTTCAATATATAGTGCTATAAAGGTTTGCAGTACATTAGATGGAAAACACACAAGTAAAAGCACAACTCCAAATTGGAATTTTATCAAAGTAAGTAGCCTTTATATATATTATACTATCTATTTTATGTTCAAATTTAATAGTTATTTTTAACATATTTAGTCATTTTTAGTGTAACAAACAAATTGGAGGATACGAGATGCGGCTACTATGAAATATATTGGATGTGGCTCATTATTTTTGGTAGCATTCAGGATAGTTGGAATGAGGTAAGTTGACATTTGCTATTATATTCAATTCATTTATTTTAATTGCTTAGGGTTTACCATTCTATTTGTAAACTTCTTACAGGCATTTAAAGATATAGAACCTTTGCCTATGGAAACTATAGACATGGTTAGAAACAAATGGGCAGAAAAGTTTGTCCAAGTAGTTAGGAATAGGATTGATTGACAATACTGAGATTATTTGGCTGATTTTGTACATAATTTGGTTGATTTTGACATATATATCTATCATTTTATATATAGTAATATATAGTGATTAGCTGAAATATATATACTGTCAATTACTGAGATTATAGCAGGTCGTATACTGTTGGTGTCACTAAAAATAGAGCATTATTTAAAAAAAAAGATATTCTACGTCGGTTAATGCAATGACCGACGTTGTAACGAATATACAACGTCGGTTATTGCATTAACCGACGTAGTATATACCTCTCAACGTCGGTCATAGAACTAACCGACGTTGTATATATAACATTCAACGTCGGTTATTTTAATAACCGACGTTGAATTTACTCATTTCTACGACGGACATTGGTTTAACCGATGTAGATTTTTAGTACTTTCAACATCGGGTTTTCTGAACCGACATAAAATTCTTTGACATTCAACGACGCTTGATTCAACGACGTCATTGGAACCGACCTTGAATGTCTTCTACATCCAACGTTGAAAGATGATTCTGTAGTTTTGTGAGTGAATCCATGATGGAAAGTTGGGACCTAACTGCCAGGAGCTCATATCCAAATGGGAAAGCTGAAAAGTAGGATGCCAACTGGGACCCACTTTTAAAGTCAAATTGTTCCCTGATGCATCAAACCACTTCAAGCGGGTAAGATTTGCGAAATCATCTTCCTTGACGACTCCTTGAAAACGATTGTGATCAATGTAAAGTGCTGACAATTTAGAGAGTGATCCAAGACTTTCAAATGGATTTCCGCTAAATAGATTTTCGGACAGTTCAAGAGATCTCAATGATACAAGTTTTCCCAGTGATCTTGGAAGGTCGCCACCAATTTTGTTGCCATAAAAATCTAGAGTGTCAATATTTTTAAAATCTCCAAGTTTATTTGTCAGAGCCTGAAAGTTGAGAGTTTTGAACTTCAAGTGTTGTTAGTCCATGGGAAATACAAGGAGCAAGAATTTCTAAAATTTCATTAACCTTTTGGTTGAGTTTCAGATTTGAGAAATACATCTCCCTTAAGTTGGACAAATTACCAAAAGAAGTTGGAATTGGTCCATCAAATTGATTGCCTGACAAATCAAGATTTTGAAGAAGTGTGAGGTTTCGAATACCATCAGGAATGGAACCTTTGAAGAAGTTATAACTTAAATCAAGAGAAACAAGTTTCTTCACTCCAAACACCCACTTCGGGACAAAAGAAATTGGAGAAGAATAATAAATATAAGAAAGATCAAGAGTGAGGAGAGACGAGGAGTTAAGCAAGGATGGTTGATTATAGAGAGGGAGTGTGCATTGTGACAAATGAAGGTGCATCAAAGAAGGAAGAGTTTGGAGAATGTGAAAGAAATGGAATGATCGGGATAGATTTCTATACCTCCCAAGTCAAGATATTCAAGCTTTGAAAGACTTGATAGCCAATCAACATTTTCAGTAAATAAAGCTTTTTCTTTGTAATAATAATTACTCAGATCAAGATACACCAAGTTGGAGAGATTCCCAATTTGAGGAGGAATCGACCCCATGAATCCAGTCCAAGAGAGGTCCATGTGAATTAAGGAGGTCAATGTCCCAATGAAAGTAGGAATGGACGTATCCGAGTAATTCATTTTTGCTCAAATCAAGATATCGAAGCTTTGAAAGACTTGATAGCCCGTCAACATTTTGGGAGAACAGAGAAAAACTTCTGAGGTCAAGATACAACAAATTAGAAAGATTTCTGATTTGGGAAGGAACTGTTCCATTGACAGCATAACCGAGGTCAAGATAGAGCAAATGAGATGATTTGAATAGGTGACATTAATATTGTTAGGTTAATTGATGTTCTTAATTGATATAATCATTACAAAAGAGGGATAATGAAGGAAGTCAATCATATGCCTTTAATTGATATTTTCTCAATAATTTACAGTTTTTTGTCATTTAATTTCAATTCATCTTTTTATGCAAAACTCATTCTGTTTTAATCTACTTAGTAAGCATAAAACTTGAGAATTTTCATTGAAACTGTTTCTCATGGGATCGACTTTTATTTAATCGAAATATTATATTACGATTGATAATTTTGATACGTTTGCCAATAATTTAACAATATTTTCTTTGATCATCGATTTCGAGTGATTGATTCAATGATCGAATATAAATTAAAAATATAAAACTCATTTATATATTAATTACTAATTTTAGTTTTTTATTTTATTATATACAATTTTTAAGATAATGATAAACCTAAATATATGAACTATGAATACCTTATATAAAATTTATCACAAACCACAATTTGAAATATTCATCAAAATAATATTACAAATATTCATCAAAATAAAAGTACAAATATTGTTTAACACAAAATCATCGACCATTATATACTTTTTACATATTAAATTTCAATATAAACGTATAAAAAATTGTATTGACGATAGTAGAAAAATTACAATTAGAAACACAAGAAGGTGAAACTAAAGATGCTTGAAGATCTTCACAACACACACGAACTTTACAAGCTGTATTAAAAAGAAATGGATAATAATTAGAATATGTATAAATAATAATCTCATAAATAATCATAATAAGAAGAAAAAGTCACCTAAAAACTCTTAGTGAAGTTTCGAAATTGTAGCCAATAAGCAAATTAGCCTGTATAATAAAAAACAACACAAATAAATATAGAAGTTCAGATGAGCAGGTATAATTGTCCCAAGTACAAGGCCTTTCTTGTAAGGTATGAGAATGACATGTAAATTTTTAAACTATGTGGGATGTTTTTAATAGCAGAAAACTAACATAAACCCTATGACCAGGGTCCTTAATAGTCCAGACATTACAATGCAAATCAAAATCCTGCCCATATATAAATCAAATCAACACAGTCCACATATCAATTCCAATAATCCAATAAAAAAAAGTTTTGCATCAAATTACACAACACAATGTTGATCTCTCACTACAATAAAATCATTAATTACTGATGGATAGTTGCCGATGAATATGTAATTGTCGAAAAATGAGTGATTACCGACGAAAATTATCAACGAATTTAAAGTATTTGTAGAATTTGGTCTTACCGATGAATATATCCATCAGTAAATGAACAATTAATTACCGATGGATATATCCGTCGCTAAATTAATAATTTTGATAAATTAACAATTAGTTACGGACGAATATATCTGTAGGTAAATTAATAATTAGTTTCTGACAGATATATCCATCGGTAAATTAACAATTAGTTACTGACGGATATATTCGTCAGTAAATTAACAATTAGTTACCGACAAATATATCTATCGGTAAATTAATAATTAGTTAGCGTCAGACATTACAGACGTATTTAAAGTATATTTTTAAAAATCAACATTAAATTTAAAAAAATTAAATATTTTAAATATATTTGTATTTATATATTTCACATATATACATTTATTTGTATATAAATATAATTTATTTGTAAATTATTATTAGAAAATCATAGTAGCTTAGTGGTTGGAGTATTAGTCTTTAATTTTAAGGTACTGTGTTCGAATAATCCAATTTTTCTTATAGTATCTTTTGGCAAGTGTACCAATAGTCAACTATAGTACAATGATTTTTTAAGTGAAAGTTTCATTCTTCACATATCCAATAAATTGTCCAACATTCTTTTCAAGTGTTAAAAACAATTGACATACTGAAATCTATTCCTAACATCATAATACATCAAATATTTTTGTTCACATCAAATTTTTAGAAATACTTTCCAGTCACGTCTAAAAATCACATTCATGAATATATTAATCAGATAGAATCAAGCTTTAAGAGCAGAATAAAAATATCAATATTGAATAGAAACAGAAAGTTATATATAAATATCACTAGATTACATCCGAGTTCAAATCGATTACATTCAATCCCAAGAAAAAAAATTAGTCAGTCATGGTAGTCATTGACAATCCTAAAGCAAAATATGAAGGAAGAACTTTTCCAAAGCTTGTCAAAGTCAGTGCCCATATTTTTTTTTTCTGTCCCTCCTCTTCACATTCTATACTGCACGATTTTTCACTTAAGTTAACTGATTATAGCTTAAGCGAGAAGGTACTTCATGGTGAAGAAAAGGTCATTCTCGCTTAAGCTAAATTATTCTCGCTTAAGTGAGAATGACTTTCAAATTGATAACTTAGGCAAGAATAATTTCCTCTGATCAACTCTGGCTTAGGTGAGACCATTCTAGCTTGAGCGAGATGTGACAAAGTTTGATGTCTTTTTCTTCTTCATTTCTTCTTCTTTTATGCCATTTTCTCCTTCTCTCTTAAATTATTTGAAACATATACAAAATGAGGATCAAATGATTTTTTTTTAATTAAAACTCAAGAACATATGATTATATTTTATCTTGCTTAAATTAGGGAAAATTATACTAAATATACACAATTTGAAACAAAAGTGTCATAATTTCATATGAAAAGTTTACTACTTTTTTACACTTATCACACAATAACGAGAATAAGGAACCAAAATAAAAAAATAATAACCACTAGAATGAAACACAGGCCGACAACTACTAGGACTAAACATGAAGGCCGACAGTTCAAAATAAAAAATCCAAATATTCACACCTAGGGACTTAACAAATAAAAAGTATAAACTACAAGTAAACTCAACAACCCCCATTTAAACTAATCCACTCATAAGAATCAACCAACATATCAAAATCCAAGCATAACAATCTGAAATCACCTAGCAAACCCTATCCACACTAAAACGAAGAAAACCAAACCAGAACCACTAACCACCATTTGACAGACCCCATTCAGAAGCAACAACATCGAGCAGAGTCAAAATTAACAAAACTAAACCATCAGAAACACAACCCTCAATCGAAAATGTAATACCAAATCAGAGTAAAGTAGAAACAGAAAATAAATCAAGCAAGGGAAGCTGGCTCGTGACCTTACCTTCGATCAGGGGATGGTGTTGCTCCGAGGACGCCACTCATGGTGTAGCAGCACAATTGGGAAGGATCCGCGGTTAAGGCAGTTGGTTCATCGCGACGACTTGCGATTAGGGCTAGGAAATGGCCCGCGACACCCCTGATGGTCGTGGGCAGGGGGAGGGGTGCGATTATGTCTTTTAAAGACAACCAACAGTGGCACAATCGCGAAGGCTACAAGCGGCGGTATGATGCCCATAAAGGTGAATGACTGACTAGGAAAAGCGGTTGAGATGGGAGCTGGAGCGAGGGAGGCTTGATGAAGGGCCGTTGGACTTCTATGGTGGCCGACACCTAGAACAGAGGACGAAGCGGAGGGTGACACAGAGTGAAAATTTGGAGAATGAGTGTTTAAGTGGAGAGGAAGAAGATGTGAAGGGTGTCAGTAAAATGTGTGGTTGCGGCTAAGATGAGAGGAGGGAATAGGATGAGCAAAGCCTAGAATTGGGTGTGAATATTGAAAGAGTGATTCATCGAATTGGGTGTGGATATTGAAAGAGTGATTCATAGTGGCGAGACCTGGTGAAGGTGGTGAAGGTGGAAATTATGGTAAAATATAATGGATTGAATTTTTTTTTTTTTTTTGAACTATATATTATTTTTTTATATTTGACTTATTATTTTGAAAAAGTAAAAGAGACTATCTTTATAGTTTTTTTTTTCATTTTTTTAAAAAGCAAAATATTAAGAAAAAAAATGAAATTTTTCGTTTTATCTTTTAAATCCTTTTTTTAATTATTTTTTTCATATTTTCAAATATTAGTTTTTTCATATTTTGAAATTTTTAATGATTTTTTTAAATAAATATGATAAAACTTAAAATTAATTTCTAACTAAATCTTCATGGATTGATGGTTAATACTATATTATATTATTATGTTTCATTAAATTTTAAAAATTAAAAATAAGCTTACATAATTTTTACACTTTTATAAAAAAATAACTAATATAAACTTAAAATTTTTATTCAACTATTAAATTATTTAAGATATTAATATAAATTTAAAATATCAATTTAGTAATTAAAATAATTTTAATTAATATATATATATATATATATATTATTTTTATTAACATACAAATATATATATATATATAAAGAGATTAAATTAATAATTAATTTAATAACTGAATCAGTGATTTGGTGACTAATTTAATAATTAAATTTTAATTTTTTTATTATTCAAAAATGTAACCAAATAATTATATTACTAAATTATTTAATATGTTTAATAAGTTATTAAATTATTTTTTAAAATATTTATAATGTTATTAAAAATATTATATATTATTTTAAGTTATTAAACAGATTTATATTTAATATATTATTAAAATATTTTTGAAAAATATTTATATAAATAAAAAATAATCACTAATTTAGAGATTATTTGTTTCAGTAATTGAAATTTTAGTCACTAAATCAGTCACTAAACTAAATATAAAAAAAATTTAATAATTAATTTAATTATTATTTATTTAAAAAATACTATGATATGCTTGATTTATTAATTAGAATTTTCTATTAATAAAATTTGAAATTTTGTGAGTTTAAAGCATTTAGAGTATTTAAATAAAAGAACGTAAAATTGAGATAAAGAAATTTGTTAACATCTAGATAATTGAATTGTGATGATGATTTTGTCA